ATCATGCTGACCTTTTAGTTTGGACATCATGAGCACCATGCAGCTCTCTGTCATCCTAATTTTCTGTTCCACCAGAATTACTTCTCGTACTTTTAAGATTTAGCTCGGATAAGGAAAGCAGTGTGATCTCGTAGGAGCTGAGCAGGCTCCAGCCAAATAACTCGTGACGCTATTGTTAACTGCTTGCCCTTTGTGGCACGTGAAACTTTTCCAGCCCCCAAAGAGAGCAGCAAAAAAAGATTAGCACCATGTATGTAGTCTGGTTTGGGTACAACATGGTTAGATACTGATTGAATGTTTTTGCCATATAATTACGCTTCTGTGCACTTTGGATATGTCTGCTCTTTACACAATGCCTCTGGTGAAAAATAGTACACTAGTGTTTAACGATAAATCAGGTGCCTTGCTACAGTATTGAATTTACAGTTTGTTAGATCAGTGCTACCCTCTAATGGCCATTTGGAATATTAACACAAAGATAACACCAGCATAGTTACAACCACCAATATTTATTTCCCTGCGTCTATAACACTGGTCTATAAATTTTAAAAGATTTCCCAAAGGAAATGTACTAATTCTTTGGATTTTGAGATGCCAAATTCAAATACAGCCTTTAAACGAGCTGCTTGGATATAGTATGTAATGATATTTAGCCATTTATGTTTTATGCCGACATACAAAGAACCCACAAGATGCCACCTTTTGACTCGAGAGAAAATGGGCTGATGTACAACAGAGAACTTGACGTTTTGAGCTGAGGTATAAACGACATATTTTCAGTGCTTTCAGTATTTTGTATTTCTTACAAACCAATACAATCAACAACTGTAAACATCACTTTTGTTTTTCAGTGGCCAAGAACAAGCAAAGATTCCTTATTTTTGTTCCAGAAGTATTTTGGTTGCAGATAAGTGAAATCTGAGTCTTTTGTGAACATTTAAATTAAGTTCTGTGCTGAAATATTGTTTCACCTTCATACCTATTACATAAAAGTTCCTATAAATGCATGAAAGACAGTGATGTTTTTTGGAAACTAGTAGTGAGATATGTCTACCTGAAAATACAGCAGAATTGTGACTGGGTTGGTTCAAGACTTATTGCCTGTGGGGTGTCGCATTTGTCTCCTGTCTCCCTGTCTACTGTCCACACACTAGCAAGGTGCTTAATTCACCTAAAATACAATGATAAGAACAAACATTAGAACTTGATGATACAAACTGAAAAATACTATAAAACAGGACTCTTATGTGTTTTATTTTTCTCACAAAGAAAGTTTGTTTACAAAAAAGAATGTCAAAAATAATATTGTACCTATCTATTGCATGTCATGCTGCCAGTTTGAACTACATGCAAAAACAACAATAAGAACACTAATAATAATCATCACTGTACAAAAAAGGATGGGGAAATTATGAGGCCAAACATTTTAAAACAACAAAGAAATGCATGTATTGGGAAAAAAAAAGATTTCTATAAAAAGTGTTTTTTTTTTGCTTTTGTTTTGTTGTTTGTTTTGCTCCAGATGGTGTCATGTGTTTGTAAATGAAACCAGGGCACAAGACCCCAAAACCACCCCGTCAGAGAAGGTTATGTGAAACTGCATAGAGGCAGAGAAGTGCTTGCCCGTTCTAAAGACAAAGGCGTGAAGAAAGAAATTCAAATGGAAGTGGATGGTGTAGGTGCTTGAAACACAAGTGTGCGCACACACACACACACACACGCACAATCACATACACAGTTAGCCTATACATTTTGAAGCCCTTACAACATAAAGTCATGCTTCATCATCAATATGGAAAAACAACACAACAAAGATTACATGAAAGTACAACTGAGCCGTACAGCCTCCCGTCCATTAAGTTGCTGTAAAAAGTGATATGTGAGGTATATGGCTTCATTTCATCCATCAGTTTCATGGCAAACAATGGAGAGGGTATAATTCAATCCCCAAGCATCCTCCAACCACAAATATGCCTGGAGCAGGTCATGCTGACAGAGACGGGCACTTTCCCAATTCATTTCAAACACAGAGAGAAGATAGGAGGTGCCAGGAATAAAGCACTGGCTTTTTTATGTTTTAAAAATATTTGAAGTTTGTATAAAGAAGAGGAAAAGAACAGAGTTGGTCTGTGCAGAGACTGTTGACTGTGGCAGTATATGCATATTCTCTCTACATGCGTGGGTGACAGAAGTACAAAAATGCTCATTTAATCTGTGGTTGCAACTTAACATGTGATTGTAAAAGAGTCAATCGGTGTCCCTTTGGTTTTTGATCCAGTGTAATAAATTTATTACAAAAAATGAGTGTTACAAGATTTCAGGTCCCTTGTCTAAATGTTTAAAATCAATGTTATCAAGCATCCTTCTTCAAAGTCGGTGGCATCTGTTGGTGTCACATGAGCTGGTATGCATGTGGTGTGTGTTGAGCAGGGTTCCTGGTCGGGCTCAGTCAGTGCTGACCTGCGTGACCTGTGTGTCAGCTGTCTGGTTGGTGGACTGAATGAACATTGGTTGGGTTAGCTCCTGTCCTGCTGGCATCGTCACCTGTTGAATCTGATACAACTGCTGAGGAACACAGAGAGAGAGAGAGACGGAAAGGCTGAATGTCAATCTTGTTGAATTTGATAGGGTGAAGGCTCTTGGGTTGTTACAAGGTGGTATTTAGGTTATTTGTAAGACAGAACATCTTTTATCTGGCTGTATTAAAATTTTTTATTCATGACTGTATGATTATATTTGTGTCTAAACCCAACTTATGGTATATTCTGTATTATCCGTTTCATGTTTCTCAAGTGTAAGACTTTTTTAGATTTTTAGTCTCACTGAGGCTTTCCTGGTTAAATAAAGGTCAAAGGTAAAACTGTATTTCTTCTAGCTAAAATGAGAAACACTGACATGCCACAAATATTTACAGTGGATCAGATGCATCTGGCAAATAAAAGATACAAAATTCAGCATGTAGCTCAAACTTTCATTGTCATTGCTACAGCTCTGACACACTGGATGTAATTACTGCATTTGTTACCTGTCCATCAGTAAACTGGTTGAACTGCTGCTGTCCTTGCTGTACCTCAGTCTGTGTGATCTGAAAACAGAATACGTTACATAAATTAAACAAGTGAACAATGTGAATTATTGGATATCAGCTTGTTTACTGAATGCTAACTTTCTTTTTTTTTTATCCCTTTCATAATTACGGTACCTGTTGGGTGCTGGCGAGAGTCTAAATCTGTCCTTGGACCACTTGTGCTCCAGAGACAGGCTGGGCTAGACGAATGTATTGTAGCTGGCCTGTGTTTAGTTGCACCTACAGTCAATCAACACATGGGGGAGACAAAGAGTAGTTTAGAGCAAAGGTCATTTCAAAGCAGAGGTCACAGCCATTTTGATCACAGCAACAAGGATCCTTCTCTTTCCTATGCTGAATTGTAAATTTGATGACTCCCATCCAAAAGTGAAAAATAGATCATTCACTAAAAACAATGTTTGTCCCACAGTATCGAACCCCACGTGTAACTACAGCAAGCATACACTATTTTAGCCATTTTGTCTGTTTTCACTTGAGCCTATCTGTTCCTCCCCTCATTCAACTCCCTGAGCTTTTCATTCAGTGCTTCAGCTTCTTTACCAGTCTCCTCTCTTAATTCACACTGCTTTTCTTTTAAAGCTTGATGCAATTTATTACCGGGATTTGCTGAATCTCTCCTGTGTTGGTGATGATCTGCTGCATGACCTGCATGGTTTGGCCTTGAGCTTGAGCTGTCTGAGCTTGACCCTGGGCTGCTGCAGCCTGGACAATCTGTACCTGTTGGCCCTCACCCACCTGCATGGCCACAGGAGCGCTCTGATGAAGGGCAAAAAAGAAAGATAAAAGCAGCACAAGCCACAGCCAGAAAGAGAGAGAAATGCAAGTAACACATTAGTGGTCAAACAACACCAGGAACAGGGATGTAGCTTATGACATAAAACAAAAAAAAAAAAAACAGGAAATCACTAACTACCCTGCAATTTGAGTTTAACCAGAAGTATCCTTATATTTTAAGTCTTTTTAAGATCATCAGGCAGGCACAAAAAACATGGTGACATAACGTGACACAAAGATTTCGAGACCTCTCTTTCACTTCAGTCTGTAACACTATCAGTGAAAGGCCGCATAATCTTAAGCTGCAGTCACCCCTATAGACCTCAGTCACCTGAGCTCATGGGCAGCGGTCGCCTACAGAGCTAAGGCCTCTGTGTATGTAGTTAGGGAACATTTAAGTGCATGTGTGCATGTGTCTTTACCGTGATGGGTGTGCCCTGTGATTGCACCTGCACTTGCTGTAACTGCTGCATGGTGGCACTTTGCAACATCTGATGGCCGACAGAACAGAATGAGAAAATGAGAGAAAGACACACATTGAGAAAGTAGAGATCACAACAACTTAACACGAGAATGTAAGCATGTGTGGCGTGTATACATAGAAAGCTTAATCGTTAATGAAGCATACAGACTGAAGCAGTAAATGACATTTAAGAGCATGTTGTTTGCAAGCAAAACAGGAGAAATGACAAAGAAGCTAAGGCGAAATGACAAAAACAGGTTAAAACAAACAAAAAACCATGAACAATTTGGGCTGATTTTTAAAATGCATGTACATCACAGTGATATTTACTGCAGTTTGCCTAATGCAAACTAAGGTTTCATAAGTACCTCTGCCAAAGTTGCTGACCTGAGAGAAAAACTACAGAACTAGTGATACTAGTGATACTAGTGTCCAAAAAAAATCTGCATATGGACACAGATACATAAAAAGAGGATACGAAATGAGAGCGCTGCCCACCATCTTACACCACTCCCAATTCTCACCATCTTTTCTTTACTGTCTTCATTCTATAGGACTACTAACACCTCACTTCACAGAGCAAATCTGTTGTATCAAATATGATGTTTTTGTCTGATGGAAGTGGTCAACTTCTGAGCTCTTTTTAAATCAGGAAGCACTTAAAAAAGGAACACATTTTTGCATTTTGAATAAAGATGGTGCATCCCCAAAATCACTTCAACAAACCAAATACCTTTTCTGCAATCAAATTTAAACGGGGCCTACTTTGGTGAGTGTCACAGTGTGACCTCCCTGCTCTCAGTAGGGACTGCAGCAGCAGCAGCGCTAGTGAATCAGGCCAGGTCTAAATGAGTGTGACAGCTCAGCTAAAGGCAAGTCTGCTGAAGCAGCATGAAGAACCAGAGCAGCACAACTACATGTAGAGACCAAGCTGTAGACAGAGTGAGCGCTCTGGAGCAAAAGTAGTAGGAATGAGCTAATTAGAAAGACAGACCATTGAACAGTGTCCCTAAATAAGCATAGTCGTTATAGGTCGTGAAAACATTATGATTCAGGGGGAGTGCACCTTCACCGATACTCTGTGTGAGTGTGTTTGAGAAACTGTGTGCTAGGGACTTGATTCCATTAAGAAACAATTATAGATTTCCTGTTTTATGTCTCCTTCAGCTCATATTTTGTAGCTGAAATACACAACATTAGAGAGAGTGAGGATGACAAACGTGACAAAAGACACAAAAAGACTCCTATTTGATAATGAATTTTTAAGCTGAGGAAATGTTTCCCCATTTTTAGCTGTATACTTCAGTTCAAAGTAAAAACACAGTCCTCAACTATGTTTGGCACACTGTACAGATGTATGATGTGCATATATTTTGGAAGCTATGACACTGCAAAAAACAGACAGGGTCAAATTTCAACAAATTAGTTACTGTACATTTTTTGTGTAAAAATAAACAGAATAGAAGAGCAAAAGCATTCAGGTCAAATGTGTCCTCTCTAGTCTTTCAGAGGGAGGCTATGCATGTATGTAGATATGTGTGCTGGATGTGGTCTGAGGTTCAATTATTCCCGTTGGTATGAGGGCAGCCAGCTCCTAAATGTGAGCCGAGACTAATATCAGTGACGCCACATGTGATGATCAGAGTAACAAGCCTTTTTCAGCGGGGTTCCCACAGTTGGGAGGAGTTTAGAATGTGCTTCTCAGCACTACCGCGGACAGGTAATCCTTCAGGTGTTACATGGACACACAGACATTAAAACACAATATCTTCAGCCTCAACTGCAGTCTGTAATTCACTTACTTTGCTACACTGCCATAATATTGCCTGAGTTCTGATATTCAGCTGTGGCTTCATTTTCTTGTTGCTTGTTTTTGTGACAAACCCTGGGAACAGCCCTTCAAACACAGTGTTAATGGTACCTGTCCTTGCTGTGACTGTGCAATGATGATCTGTCCAGGCTGGATGGGGGTGGCTGTTTGTGCGCCAGGCTGCTGGCCTTGTTGTGTTCCCTGCACCTGTACGGCTCCAGGTTGCTGGGCCAAGGTGAAATAGTACTGTACTGGCTCCGCTGGAGCAACAGACTGACGCATTTCCTCCTGAAGATGAGACATACACACATGCAAAAATATACACCCACATCAAAGGAAGCTTATCAGTCCATTACATCTCCATGAATTATTGTTGTTGGTGTCATGGTAGAAGAGCACAGGTCTGATAAATAACTGATGGGACATGGCCGGAGAAGAGTAATGTAATCTGGATACAAGATCCATTACAAGCATCATACTGGTCAACAAAACACACTGTAGGTCTGGTGGCATTCTAGGCTGAATGTGGTGATCAGTCAGGCTCAATTTATACAAAACTCTGTATCCTACGTTTGTGACTAATTTAATATGATATAGTAAAAGTAATAGTATGACAGCTGCTGATTTATGTATTTAAATGTACTCTCCCCGTCCATCCTCTTCCAGAGTCAGCTGCACAAAAGCAGTGTCAGAGTTTGTTGGGATTCTGTTTACTCAGCTCAGCTCAGTAGGTTAGATGTTTTGGCTGGCATGGGGGCTTGAGCAAATTTTATTTGGCCTTTATTTTCATAAGTGGGCCATGGAGAGGTGGGCAGAAAATGAGGGAGACAGAGAGGAGCAGACCTGCAACAACTGTTGACAGTTGGACTGGAACCACCAACATAGCACACACACTGTTCATAGGTATATGGTGCACCGCACTGTAACCATTCATCTATCGGGGGCTCAAATCTCACATATTTAATCATCGGAACACACTGACCTGTGTCATTCTGCTTCATAACTGACTAATGAGCAGAGCTTCATCTTGATGAGGTTTCTCCATCACCAGAAGTGTAAACACCCCTCTCCCAGCTCCATGACAACACAGCTGAGAGTGTAGGATGTTTACATGCCTGGAGACAGTCTACTTCACAACAAATTTAAATATCTCATTCCTCCATCTGGTATACAAAATGTTTATACAGACATCAGTCTCCTGCTTGAGCAAAACTTCAATGCAATGTGCTCTTTCACTGTCCAAGCTGAATTATTTCTTGGAAAGAAACATGTTTAAACACGTATTACTGGTAGTAATTATTAGCTATTAATGACACAAACTAGTATCAGCACTGACATTACTGTTGGCTGTCAGAGGCAATAAGGTGCTGCAAACATCCGACTGAAAGCCTTCACCGTCCAAACCCCAGCTTCCAGTCAAGGATGTTTACAGCCCCTCCAGGTTGCCAACAATGGAAAAGCACCTGAGCCCTGTTGCCTCCGCTAACTTTAATGTATAAGCAAATCATTTTTCCAAACACAACAGCTGTTTGCCTAACATTGTACAGGTAACTATCCTGGAATTGTGTGCTTCTCTACCTGTCGTTTAGGTGGCTTCAGGTCATCCCGTGGCACAATGTCGATCAGGAAGTCGAACTGGTCGAACTTTGTTATTGCCATGGCAATGTCATTCCTCTGTAAACATAACAGACACAGAAGGTCAAGTGATGAGGTCAGAGTTTAATTATACTAACCCATCAGATGCAGCAACCTATATGTAAACATGCCTCAAGGACTAAGGTCAACTCTCTCAAAATAGAGCTACAAGAGCCTCAACTGGAGCTGATATAAAGTTCCCAGTATCACTTTAACAGCTATTTGCTTTGATACTGAGGTCAAAGTATTAGAGTTCAGAGCGGAAACAAATAGTATGCAACTGTTTTAATAACAGATTAATCATTTCAGTCATTTTTCAAGCAAAAAAAAAAAAGGTCAACACTGGCTTGTTTGAGCTGTTGAGTGTGAGACCATGCTGGTTTTATTAAGTCCTTTATGACAGTCGTCAGACTGTTGGTCAGACAAAAAAAAAAAAAAGCAAATTCTAAGTTTTACCTTGGTCTCTGGGGTCATTTTTCAAAAATGAATTTATAAACCAAACAATTATTGTATTCTTGAGGAAATTATCTGCAGAATAATCAATAATGAAACTAATCACTACAGCACTACATTCATAACCCTGGATGTGTGAGGTGGGTGGAAATGAACAGGAACGATGTTTTCCTGCCCTTATGACCACACACTCTGTGGCTATACAGCTTTGTACATCCACAGGAGTGTGCTGTCTCTGTGGAATTTTCCACAGGATATTGGCTGTCAGGACCCCCCAGTGTGAACTTCCCTGCACTAGAGGCTATTTATAGTAGCTTGATTAATATCTGGTAACACTGGGTCACATCTACACTTGCTCTATTGATGAGGGTTGCTATGGTGACCCCATTTGGCGTGGCCTCTTCACAACGGGACTCTGCGTGCATGTGTATCTGGGAACATATGGAAATGGAAGGCACAGTTTACACTCAGACACAAGAAAAGCCCATATCCGTGAGGTTAAAAAAAAATAAAAATCACAAATGCTTAATACATAACCAGTGGTCTAAAATGTAATGAACACACAAACCTCTATGAGGCATCTACTGTATTTGAAGCCCATAGTGTAAAGTTCAATAATGTAGAATATTGTGCTAAAAACAAAGGAACTCCAGGACAGAGATAAACTCAGACAGCACTACTTCCAAAGTAGGTCATTAAAGACTACTCCAAAACTAGCTGCAATGAGAGTGATCACAGTGTCTTTTTTCCTGTCTGTTTTTCTACCTGCATTGGCGCGCACACACACACACACACACACACACATCCATGGGCTGCTAATCTCTCAGAGGTATGTGAATGGATAAAGTGGACTTAAGGGCTTTCATGTTCTGCTCCACAATTTCCCCTCTTGAACATCCAGGTAAGACAAGCTCTAGTCTTTTTCCCAACTGTTCCCATCAGCGCTCTCAAGTTCCCTGCTTCCTTTTCATGTCGCATCATTCCAGAGTCCATCTTATTCAGCTTTGGGACAGTGGAACATGGCAAAATGGCACTGGAGGGAGAAGTGGGTCACCAGCACCCGCCTGGCTTTGCTTTCAAAGTCAGTGGAGGGAAAAAGAACTAAACAGAGGGATTGTCCTCAAGGGGATGCTGGTATGGGAATTATGCTTGTACATACATACACACAAAACACAGTGAATAAAAAGCAACAAACCAAAAGACAGTCATATATGATGCTAAGGTGTGGGAGACCATAATTAAAAGAAAAGGTGGAAGAAATGTGCACAAGGAAAAGGATTGGATTAGATGGATGTGTCAATCACAACTAATGAAACATTGAGTGAGAAGTGTTGAGTGGTGAGAGAGGTCAGAAATTTAGCTGTCAATTGGCCAAATTTCAACTGAAATTTAATAAAAGTTACAACATGTCATACTGACCTGTAGTGTGCGTCGCTTGTTGTCCTCAGTGTGGATCCATGCTCTGAGGGTAAGCTCTGTGATGAAGATCTGAGCTGCCTTGGCAAACAGGACTGGAGCCTCTGCACTGATCATCTGCAGAGGAGAATTGAGTTTCACCTGGTTAAATACACCCACACACTGTTAAACATCCATCACACATCATCTATACCATGAATCACTCAGGACCTGAGTAACAAATAGCTGCATTTAAAGGCACTGCAACGTAAGCAATACATGCATTCATTTGTTTATAAAGATAACAAAATATTTCATTATAATTAGTTTATATCCCAATAATGTCAGTCCAAGACATTATTCAAGCAGACTGTACTGCTTAGAGGTGAATGGTAATATTATACTCATCAAAATGCTTCTTCAAATCTTTGTTTATCCCAAATAACAACTATGTTGTACAGTCACTGGTCTGCAGGCCTCTAGCGCCAAACTTCTTAGCTTAAAACTACACTTCTTTATACTGTAGTCTACATGATAATGTACAAAATGGACTGTAATAATACATGCACTCACATGCACTCTTGCAGTGAATGCTGCTGTGTAAGTGCTGACAGGAGGGTCTTGTCTTCAGATGTGTTTGTGAACTCCTGATCTCTTTACCACTTTAAGCTGCTGCTTAACTAAAAGGATCTCTTTACATGACACATTTAAGCCACAGACATTCCAAGGCTTTCTCTTGAACTGGTGTAATGGCGGAAAAACAATCACTCCTCCATGTAACAGCCTAGCACAACACACAACAGCAATTGTTAGGAGATGAGTAGGTTCCTTTGAACAAATGCCCCAAAACCCCAGGATAGCCTGAGCAGACCAGAAAGATTAGTATCGTATATTGAATATGTATTTAATACCAGTATAACCAGTATAATAATAATTGTGAAGAAAACCAGATTGGTAGATTTTAATAACTGCTGTTCAATATAAACCACAACTTGTAGCCATATGGAACTTTTTTAAAGTCAACATGTGAAAATCTAACAGCATCTTTAAAACTAAAAGCAATTAAACAGCTACTTCTGGTGGCTGTAACCGCAGGTTTTCAGCAAAGTGATATTAACAGTAATATCACTTAATGATGCTTGGTTATGTTTTCGTGGACACCCATTTGATATAAGCAATGGACTTCTTATCAACAGAAACTGCTGAATATGCAACATCTGATCATGTGTTTCCATTATAAAATAATCTTTGCTGTTGAGTAAAACAGGACATTCATAGGCAGTGTTGGTCTGAGCACTGGAAGAAAATCACATTAAGGAACCTTAATGTGTAAGAAAATGTTTCTATTTTCCCCCATCTTACTTATCCAAGTGAACCAATCTCTGCAAAAGTGTCATATGGCCTTGTGTTTTTGGTCATGTCTGTAGTGGAGTTAACGTCTCAATTTATTAAGTAAAGGAAGTTTCTATTTTAAGCACAGTGTAGCTCTTAACTCCCTGGAAACAAATATTATCTTATTATGGTTAATATTTTAGGCTCTCCTCTTACTTTGACATCTTCATCCAGCTTCATGATTTTCTTGATTCGAGCCAGAGGCAACTCCTGCACACGGAAATCCTTCTGAAAATAATAAAGGAGGATTCAGTTACAGAGACAACAAACTGTGTGCTTTTGTATTTGTATGTGTTTGAGTGTTCATTTCTCTGGCATGTGTGTTTCTTGTCTGTTTCAGTGGGGGTAACGTACCACAGTCAGGTTCTTGATCTCCTCCATGACACGAGGCCAGAAGGACTGCAGAGTTTGCTGGGCATCGCTGCCGCCGGCTCCAAATGCATCTGCAGACATCCTCTACTGTGCTACATGGAGGGATGACAAGAGCAGAGAGGAGGAATTACATGGTTAATTATTAGACAAGAAAGAAAAAAACCAAAGATGTGATGTCAAGATTCAGAGACACTGAGGACAGGTAATTTGCTAAAAACAAAGGACACAGAACCCAGTGTCAGTCCAAGCCATGCCTGCACTGCCCAGAGTTCTTCCTGTGTGTCAGAACCACATATCCTTTCATATCCTATAATTATGATACGATGAAATCTAAAATAGAGCCCCAAATGGGCTTCTATTCTTGTCCTTGTGGGATGGTGACATGTCCAAGAACCCACCACCAAACTCTCTGCACACTTCCTGATTATGAATTGCTCCATCACCTTCACTATATAGCTGCGTCTACTCTGAAAACACAAACATGCTATGTGCAAGTTGCCGCTGGTTGACCCCAAGCACTGAGGACGCATGTGTGTTTGTGCAATCTCCTGACAACAATTGCACTCCAGATTTAACGGATGAAGACTAAACACAAACACAGCCACATGCTCACAAACTAACCAAAAACTGTAAAGTGAAATAAACCAGCTGTTACACACACATGCACACAGACATGAAAGCCATTGCTTCAACAAGGGGTCTGACTGTTTGAAAGAGGATCCAGCAGGTTACTATGGCATGCCAGGAATCTGCTGGGGGAAATATTGGCCTGTCTGTCTGAGCATGCAGAGCTTGGAGTGTCTGGATTGCACTCTTTCACTCTCCCCCTTTCATCCCAACTTCGAGAGAAAAGATTCAGCAGG